GCTTACATCAGTAAAGAGTTGGAATAGAATTTATCTGTGCTTGTTTGTCCATATTCAGAACCACAAGCCCCCAACGACCACTCAAACTTGGAAGCAGGGGCGCAGGTGATTTTGATTGATCAACTATCTCTTTGAAAAAGATTACTACAAATTTTATACGCCTACAATTCAAAAACGGAAAGAGTTGAGATAATAGATAATTGATCAATTAAAAAAGTAGAAGGGTCTGTGCCTAGGGGCACGAACGGAAGCTTGACGTAGGACCGCTAGTGGACGGAATAAATGTGAAGAGCATTTAGTTCTTTTAATTGATCAATTATCTATTACCTCAACTCTTTCCGTATTTGAATTGTAGGCGTACCAAGTTTGTAGTATTTTTTTCAAAGAGAAAGTTGATTAAGAGAATTAATCAATACAAGATTACAACTCTGGAGAGCATTTTGTGTGGTTGTTGGGGGCTTGTGGTTTTGAATATGGATAAACTAGCACAGATAAATTCTATTCTAACTCTTTGCTGATGTAAGCTTGATGGCCCTGAAAAGGGCCGTTTTATTGAAGAGGACATCCATGGCCACTTACGCTTGGCGTAGGTGACAGCATCACGGACCTCATTTTCCAGGAACACTTCCAGCACACCTCGTAGATCAGACCGGAGATACGTTTGACACCACCACGGCAAGCCAGACGACCGATGGCGGTTATCTCGAAGAACTTTGCTGTTCACCACGCCGTCCGAAGCGAAAATGAGCAAATGCCATACAGCAGCGCTCTTTTATATCTTTTCAGGTTAGAGCAGAATTATGTGCAACCAAGTGGTATAAATGCTAAAAAGACTCCTCCCATTATGAGTAGTTTGCTATCAAGTAGCGACACTGGCTCTTTTCCTTCTGCGTACACGGCGAATGAGAACACCCCAAATTTGAGTTTAGTTCACTCATAATCGCCAAAAGTGCAGGAACTCAGCGATGAGTAAAATTGTCTCATGGTTTCCTGTGGAAAACCTAAAAAATCTGCCAGAAAATTAGGAAATTGACGAAAATTTTATTCAGTCTCGGAGTAGTACCAATAGACTGAGTGAATCCAATCTTTACTTTTATCAAATTCGGGAATTTTTCCCTGGAAAAACCTGGGAAAACATGAGGCGCCGGTGATTAGCGTGATTACCTCTCACCCCAGCAGGCCTAGGTGCAATCTCAGTCGGCGCCACCTGCATGTTCTAAGGCATAACATCTCTGATCACGCCTTCCTTCGGGAAGTAAAGCCGTTGGTCCCCGGTTGAGTTGATGGTTCGATTGGTAGGGTCCAGGTGTGGGCCTCCCTGGCGTCGGTAGCCTTGGAGCTCAGTATACGGAAAACAAATCTCGCGTCACTTTTCAATAGGTCCTATCTACATTGATCGATTCTCTTCATCGACACTCTCTTTTGTAAACAACTCGGCTTCACAAATGTTTCCTGCCGTCTTCGTCGAATTAGATGCAAGATTGTTGCTTCTTCCATCGAAAATATCCGGCCATGGCAATTCAAAGTTGATCAAGGTTGATCAAAATAATTTGTACCCCTGCTTCCAGCTTGATTACATGAGCATTTTGTGTGGTCGTGGGTTCTGAATATGGACAAACAAGCAGATGAATTCTATTCCTACTCTTTACTGTAATAAGCTTGGTGGCCCTGAAAAGAGCCGTTTTGTTACCAAAGTTGGTGATGATTTAACCTCCGAAACCAAACAGAGTGCGTCTCTGTCACTTTAAAACGTATCCATGGCCGCTTACGCTTGGCGTGTTTAGTGTAGGTGACAGCATCACGGATCTCATTTTTCAGGAACACCTTCAGCACGCCTCGTAAATCAGACCGGAGATACGTCAGACACTGCCACGGCGAGCCAGACGACGGATGGTGGTTATCTCGATGAATTTGCGTTTGGTTCTGAATATGGCGATGAGTGTGCAAAATATTACGCAATTCCATCCTCCCTATTCGCACGCGCCCGAGGATTGGCGGCGAATGCCACTTCTACTTGTTTCTTCTACTTACTACTCTCTGACGACTGTGCTGGGGAAGCAGCATATGCATGTAGGTAATTGGTGGATTTGTTAGTTAATTCGACGCTTTTGGACAATGCTGGACATTTACCAGTTTTTCAATATTTTCTTGTTGAAAATCAACATTCGAAAGCATTGTTATCGATGCGTAGCCTTATTACTGATCGATTGGTGATAAAATTATTGAAATTGGACCAGGCGCAGCTGAGTTATTAACGTTCAAAATCTTTCTTAATTTGTTACATGTTTCATTTTCGGTTTTCACAAAGTGTACCCCCATATAGAAATCAAAGACGTAGTCCTACGTCAAAAACTTAATGCTCTTCACATTTATTCCGTCCACTAGCAGTCCTACGTCAAGCTCCCGTTCGAGCCCCTAGACACAGACCCTTCTACTTTTTTCCAGATTGCTTTTCGATAAAGTGTAAGAAACAAAAGTTATTAATGATTCAAGTCATCGATGTCTTATGATAATGCTCAATCAACTGTTCAGTAGGCAACGTTGGTGTTTCTGGCGCGTAAAATAGAGCATACAAATCATGGCTACTATGTCACACTGCAGAATACAGTGTTGCCCACAGAACAGCTGCTTGATCATGACATAAGATTATCAGACTCTTAAACAATTAATAACTATTTAAATTGACGTTTGGCTGAAAATCGATCTTGTGCAAAGTTGAAGCTGTGAAAATTTCCTGTAATAATAGTTGAAGAACTTTTTAACAGAGCAATATAGAAAAAAGCAAGAAGTCAATGAACAAAAAGTTTGGGTTTCCCTTTAACTATTTCCATATATACTTCAAATGGTTTGTGCCAAGTCAGTTTCTTACCAAATCAGTTCAAATTTTGGGAGGCTAATCAGAACCCAATATTGAGCACTGTGGAGCAAAAATTTCTGAGTGACTTACCCCTTGAAAAAACCAAAGTTGCTCGTTTTCGGGATTTTGTATACACCAGGTTATGAATACAGTGAGCAGCGTTGCCAGAGCTACCGATTTTTATGCTCAATATAGATAAAAAGATAGAGCCTCTGAAAATGCCAATTTTCAAAATTTCATACCGATAGATACCGATTTTCGATTTGACGTCCTCCTCTCCACTCATCAGCATGACAATCGTCGTAATTTTGAGTGAACACTCGTGTTTATTTCAGTTACCGTGGGGACGTAATTTGTGATTAGCACCGGTCCCTTTCAAATTGTATAATTATTTATGTACGGTCCTTATATTTGAAATGACGTTTCACATTCATCTAGTGATGGCCAATTTTCATTCGAATAATCGATTAATCGATTAACAAACCGAAAAGTAAAATATGTGTAATCGGTTACATCATGCCGATATAAGCATTAACATCTCCATAGGATCCTCACCGATCGTTTCAAACATGTGCTGCACTCTCATTGGTGGAAAAATGGCAGCACAGCGAACAGAAAATAATCGATTAAGCCTGGTACGCAGCTGAAAAGTAATGACGTTTTTACGTGCTACGGGATAGGACACGGAATGCTAAAGAAATTATTTTCCTTTAGCATTTCTTGACCCAGTACGCAGTTCAAAAGAAATCGGTAAAGGAAAGATCGATTACATTAGTATCGTGATCGACATGAAGGTGGCGCATTCTGAATGCAATTTCACTTTCCTTGCGGAATAATGGTCTGATCAATTATTCCGTTAGGTAATGTTGGCGTTTATTGCAAAACTGATGTTTTGGATGCATTTAAACAACATAAACACTAATAAGTGTTGATTTTACAATTTGACGACTTCTCCCTATAATCTCAAAATTTAGCAAACTATAGCTGTCAAATTTTCTTTTGGGAAAAATCCTCAAAAATTACTTTTCCGTTTTCTTTTCAGCTGCGTACCAGGCTTTAGTTGTTAATCGAGTAATTAAAAAATGGGACATCTCTGATTTTGGTGTGATTGTTTTGATAAAAATGAGCGCAAAATTTCATCTCTATCGAGGGGGCAGCAAAACCACAAAATTACCTTGCATACGGGGAGTATTCATTGGATGAAAGGGACCGTGAAAGAGGACACTAAAATAGAAAGTTTTTCTTCCGACAGTTTCATCTTAGTATTCATCTTTGATTTTAGCAGATGTTAGTTATATTTTTGAAGCGGGCACCCTACCAAAGTTCCACTCCCAGCTCATTACTTTTGAAAATGTTTAATAACGATGAATACCGATTTTTTCTAAACAAAAATACCGATGTTTGGAAAACAGTTCTGGCAACGCTGACAGTGAGCGTTCAAGTTGACCACCCCTATTCTGTATTTCGTTCGGACCGAAATTCTTATACAAATTTTTTTTTTTTTTTGTATGAGAATTTCGTTTCGAACGAAATGCAGAATAGGGGCGAACATGTTGTTCCCGAACGAACACGTGGGATGTTGTTTGTTTCGACCATGTTTGGTTCAGTTATTTGCCAGCGAAAAAACAAAATGAGCTCGACATTGCTTCTAGGCGGATTTCATTTTTCGTTCAAATTAGCCGTCAAACATTTCCGCCTCCGTGTCCGTTTCACACTTTCAACAGGGAAAATCGGTGAATAATTTAATTTTCTGTCACGAAACGCTTTCGATTCACTCGGCTTTATGGCTATATCTATAGCTTCCACCGAAGCCTACACGTTGTTCACAACCATGCGAATATTAATACACACTTTCCACAGCGACATCGTCATCGTCAAGCCTCGCTTGTTTATTAAATTAAAATGCTGAAATTTTAATATCGCTTGCTCGCCCGGTCGTACAAATTCCAATAGGGCAACCGGCACAGACCCTCAGGCCCTCGTTTGCTGCTATTTATACTGATAGACTCGTGAAGGAGAAACCCGGAATGGCACATCGTGTCCCGGAGGCATGGTCCCATTACCATCTCTTCCATGCTTCCCCTTCCCCCTTACTATGGATAATAATATAGATACACATTTTCACCGCCATCTGCCAACTTACCGATCTCCTCTAAGGCACACATGAAAACCTCCGGGGCCATGTACGGCTTGGTGCCAGACATGCTGCAGGCCAACCCATCCGGTGGCAGCCGGGTTGCGATGTTAAAGTCGGTCAGATGTGCGTGTCCTGGAGGCGGAAAAAGAGGAAAAATAATTATTAAAAAGAATCCTGCTCTTCGTCGTCGTGTTCGTCGTTGGCGTTTTGCGTCAGGGATGAAAGTTTTCCTCAATAATACGTACACTGAGCGAGGGGTGGGTTTGGTTCAGGAGAAATGCTAATACAGCTATCCCCCGAAGAACGCGTTACCCACTGAGTTGCACCCTCCGCTTTTTCTCGGCGGGGCTTCAACCAGTCAGTCTGATTTTTTGCATGTGAGTAGTGCCAATGGAGAACTAGTCACTCGCAGAAAATCAGAGCGGCTCGTTAAAAACCCACCGAGACAAAGCGGTGGGTAGAACTCAGTGGTTAACGCGTTCTTCGAGGGAAAGCTGTAGTTTTTTTTTGCTTTTTAATAAACAATGAGAAAGAAGCTCCACCAAGTTGAGAATTTTATGCCCAATTAGGAAAAAGGAAAATGAAGTCTTGCGACGAATGCTGATGACGGCATTTACACAGCTTGCTGAACAGCGCTGTTTATGGGTGTTTTGCCACCAGCGAGAACTTCGCTTGATCCTGGGTCAAAATTAAATATTCGATGCATAGGTCACTAATAATTACGTTCCTAGACAACACTCAGATAATCGTCATGACAGCAGTAAGTCTCTTTTCTTCATTCAATAATGAAATGTCATGATTACCTGGGATTTGACAAATAACGTAAATATTTACATTGTATGCATCGAACAGTATGATGACAGTGAAAGTGCATTTTTGAAAGTCCTTCGTATAAAGATTTCTAGATACAGCTGGAATTAGGGCCTAACAGCTTTTGTAAACAATGACTTCTATCGACGATTTCTAGAAATTCAAGACTCGCCCACGCAAACCAACATCCTCATCAGGTAGGGAAAGACTTCCGCTATCCGATGGTTATGTTGGTTTGCGTGGGCGTGCCTTGAGTTCCTAGAAATCATCGATAGAAGTCATTGTTTACAAAAGCTGTTACGCCCTAATTCCAGCTCTATCTAGATTTAATTACTCATGGAACTGCTTTCCTGAAGTGACAATTTTTTCTTTAATTTTGAAATCATTCATGCACACTGTGTTGAAACACAGCATGACACACTTTTCGGCACATTGATAAGTATGTCACGAAAAATATTATTTAAAACGACAACACTGTTGAGCGCTAAAGTTATTCTAATCGATTTACCCGTTGCTAAGTTGTGCTTAATCCAAAGTGGAAAATGTAGTCTGTGCCTAGGGGCATTAACGTAAGATTGACGTAGGACCGCGGTTGGTCGGTTCAATTGTTTTTGAGCTTAGTTATTTTATATGTTTAAAATCTATAAACTTTTTTTTTTTTTCCTTTGATTTGTTTTCCGTCGATCTTGTTTTCCGTGCTGAGCACCAATGCTACCGACGCCAGAGAGGCAGCTCCCACACCTGGACCCTACCTATCGACCCATCAACTCATGAACCGGGGACCAACGGCTTTACTTCCCTTCCGAAGGAAGGCGTGATCAGAGATGTTATGCCTCAGAACATCCCGGCGGCGCCGACTGGGATTGAACCCAGGCCTGCTGGGGTGAGAGGTAATCACGCTTACCACTACACCACCGGCGCCGCTAATCTATAAACTTAAAACTCTTTAAATATTTCAAATGGTGGCCGGTTATGTGAAAAAGGACCGTTTCAACATACGAAATGGAATTGATACCATTGCATTGCGTTTCTTACGGAGTAATTCGTAGATTGCATACTGGCAGGCAACTGTCATGCATCTACTTTATCGTTCTTCTTTTGATTGCTTGAGGAAAACTATTTGGGAGTGGATAGCTCTCCAATCAAAATTCAGAACAGGAAAAGCATGACAATCACCATTGCCAGCCACGTCCATCTTCTCCGCTACGGGGAAAGGAACGATATTGTTGATGTAACATCTACTTAACGGCCAGCAACTCACTAACGCCCCCATAGATGCTACGGAGTTGGATAGTAATGTAGGAAATGGGTCAGGATTCGCATATGCAGGCGATGCGACCATAATTTAGTATTTGATTTGTTTTAGGAAGAGCTTGGGAGTAAACCCACGATCTTGTACTCAGTAAGCACAAGCGACAGCCTCCAAGCTCCTCAGTTTAAATTTAAGGACCTTATTTGCTTTGATTATATGTTTTTAGTATTACTTCTACGTGAAGTCAACGATTTACATAGTTGAAGATGCTAATTTCACCTTATTTTGTAAAGTTGGTGGATTATAGTTTTACGTGATTAAAAAGCAAAATTGTGGTCCCTAGGAATTAAGATGCAAAACATTAAGTTTTCCCATTCTAATTTCCATAAAATTTCAAACGCAATGTGGAAGGTTGGGTTACAACCAATCGTTCCCAAATTTTGCACAGTTGTTTTGGATCCTAAATGGAACTTAAAAAAACATTGTTCTGAAAAAATGATCATGATGACCAATCTTAATATTGATAAATCGAAATCAGTATCGTTGCGGTGATATTCGACTTACACCAGTCCCGAAGTGACGTTTCTTCACACACATTTTGACAGTTCCTTATGGGGTTTTGCGTTGGAGTGAGAGAATAAGAAAAAGTCCGCCATGTTTCACACATAGACTGACATTTACATATGAGATTTCTAAATAGGAGTTAAGGGTTACAGAGCTCTCGTCAACGCCAATATTCATCATGAGTAAATATGAGAATGAGAGAGAATAATATAGAATGAGAGAGAACGCGATAGAGGAAAAAAAAACGAGAGAGTGAAATAAAGATAAAACTTATTACAGTAAACTCGTTCTAAATAGATATTTACGATCAACGAGTGAGGAAAAAAATTTAGAACTACGGTTATAAATTTTGGAATTTTGCATGGGATATGTGGTTAAAGTGGCCTGGACAACGAGTGTTAGGATTTATCCCGAAACAATTCCTTGGATCAAACGTTTTGTTTGTGTGCTGATCAAAGCTAAAAATGTATATATTTAAATATAAAGATCTTTTCAACAAATTAGGTATAATTACTTACAATTTAGTTTCTTAATCGGCAAAATCTCTTCCTCGTGCGGATAGGTACCCTATTAATGGACTTGTATCAAGTTGAATTTTCTAATTAAATGTAGTTTGTAAGATATTATTTATAAATTAGTTTAAGATTCAACAAGATATCGATATTTTTAAACATTTAAGGGTCTTTTATGAGAGTTTACGAGATTTTTAAACTCACTTTCTGCTATGTTCGTATAGTCCAACAGCCTCGATTCCCTCGTATAGGTCAGGTCATGAACTCACCTAATTCATAAATATTTATCCTATTTTAATTAGAATCTACTAACGATTCAATTTGAAGATCGTAGTGAGCTGTGGTCGAAGAGAGACCTAGAAAATTTTCAGCCGTCAATTTTTGCTCCGTTTTTTCTAGACTTTTGTGTAGTTGTAATTAGTGTTCCTTCAACTATTTGCCACCCCAGAGTTCTTAAACCACTGATCATCTCGGAACCTAGCACCATTGGTTGTTCTTTGTGGCTCTTTGTGTTCCTTACAAGTGGGTCAGATTCTCCGATTAGCAGCCTGAATCCATTCAGCCACAATTGTGCTTTCATCATCTGACTAATCAACTGATTGGCCATACAGGATTTTTGGTTCGCTTGTCCGATACTAAGAATAGGAAAACCTATTTTCGAGCCCAGTCAACCAACCGTTGAGTATGGAGATCACTGTAACAAGACATCGTTCATGGATCAATTTGGTGAGTCCGTTGCAATTTATTCTGGTGCTAATAATTGGCAGGATCCAATATTGGACAGTTTGATTTTTATAAAGTACTATCAGTTAAAACTGTGTTTTTGAGATTTGTCTATATATATTCTTTGGTGCTTCCTACATCGGTTGCAGGAGAGTGTTACCGATTTATATTGGATAATCCAAAGCTATGTTGATCATTATAACATTAAATTTTGAATAACAACCCTAATAAACAAATACCATAAACGAACTGTATCTCGGATAGGTAAACCATCCCACATAGGGTTTGGATGATACCCCGAACACGTCGTTAAGCTCTCTTTTATGGTTATTTTTATTAGGGAAATGATAAGACAATCTTATTCAAATGTCGTAATAATACCTCTGACCAAGGAAGAATGATTTATATAGTTTTCATAAAAGTTGACGATACAAATACTAATGAGGAAAGGAATTCCGCATTTCCTTTTCCCAAGTCCTTTTTCTCTCCTTCCCTTCCCTTCTTCTCTTTTCAGAAAGCGAGTAATGGCGCTATAACCATATGCCATATAGGGCTAGGACAAGAGTTAGTGCTCAGGTCCCAACCGCTAGAAGAAAATGGTAGCGAGCAAGGGCGCTATAACCTAGGCGAATACAGCATTCCCTCCGTATAGGTTACGTCCGCACACCGCTCTCTGTTGTCCTTCGACTGAGGTCGGCTGGATCGATTGAGGGATGGCAGTGGGTTGGCGGTGCCGTCCACGCTTGTACGGAGGGAGGTCTGTACGCTCGAACACAAGGGGTAAATACCTGTGTTCCATCCCAGGAGATCGGACAATCAAGGAGTGTACATTAACTTTCTTAGCTCTGTCACTCCCAACGATTTATATAGCCTATTTTCAAATCCTGCATACGGAGCGGTTGGTACGGTATGTCCCCGCTCTTTGATTACCTGTGGATTAAATGTTAACCACTGTCTATACTTATTAAGTAGACATGGTAAACATTCACTTCCACAAAAATTAACTAAACGCTACACAGTAGGCCTGGCCGCTTTATTGTTTGTTTCACATCCTTGATGTGCAGCAGGCATTAATAATGACAAGAAAATGATAGATGTATTTCTATCATTTCCAGGATTCTTTCAAGTACTGGCTGTCTATGTGTAGACTAGACTAGACTAGAATCTACTAACGATTCAATTTGTACTTACTAGATTAGCAATAATTTCAATAATATTTAAGATTTAAATGAAGCACTTTTCTCAATTAAGGTAGAATTAATTAAATTTGC